TAGCAGCTACTTAGCAACACCTTAGCAACCACCTTAGACAGCATAACAACTGCCTAGCAACATCTTAGCAATCACCACAGACACCATAGCAACCACCTATCAACACTTTAGCTACCACTGATATACCAATGCAACCACCTAGCAACATCTTAGCAACCACCTAGCAACTCCTTAGCAACAAGCTGAGACACCATAACAACCACATAGCAACACCTTATCAACCAACAAGGACAACATGGCAACTGCCTAGCAACGCCTTCACAACCACCCTAGACACCACAGCAACTACCTAGCTACACCTTAGCGTCCAGCTCAGACAGCATAGCAACTGCCTAGCAACACCTTAGCAACCACCTCAGACACAATACCACCTAGCTAAACCTTTAAAACTACCTGAGATAGCATAGCAAGCACCTAGCAACACTTAGCAATCATCTGGGGTACCATAGCAACTGCGTATCACCACCATTGGAACCACCTTAGACACCAAAACAACCACTTAGCAACTGCCTAGCAAATTCTAAGCAACACTTTAGCAACTGCCAACAGCCTCCACCGTTTTAACTGGCTTTAACCATTTTTGTAATCTTCTTGTTATTATTAGTCTACAGTCAAATTTTCTAAACTTTTCTTGACCAACAGTTTTGTTATGTACAACCACTATATTTTGTACAACATTTGTCTTATATGGGAATAGTGCGTTTGTGCTTTTTGGACAAATCTGTTTTACAGTTATCAGAAAATGATCATTCAAAGACTAATTTTTTCCCAGAGGAAATGAATGGCAGAATGTTCAGAATATTCTGTCTAACTGCCACACGTGATGCACATCTCTCAGTAACAAAATTCTGAGACAGTAGCAAAACAGTAATAACAAAAGTAAAACAGTAATAACAGAAAAAGTAATAAAACAGTTATAACAAATAAAACAGTATCAACACTGACAACAGCAATACTACACACTCAACACACCACACACATACATACACTCACCACACACAAACACATACATAACACACACTATACAACACACCACACACCAAACACACACATACCAAAGTGATGCCACAATGCACAACTCTCACAAAGACATTCATACACAGTACACACAGACTCTCACAATTACTTTACACACCACACACACACTCACTCACGCTACACACCACACATACACTCTACATACAACATACGCTCTACACAACACACACACACACTCCACACACTTTACACACTCTTAACATGCACACTCTACACACCACACCTGCTCTACACATACTCGACACACCACACACGCTCTACACACTACACACACTCAACACACCACACCAGCTCTACACACTACACACTATCCACACCACACACACTCCAAACACATTCTACACAACATGTAAACTCTGCGTACCACATACTCCATACGCACCCTCCACACACCCTGAGAAACCACCTGGAATACCCTAGCAATCCTCTAACAACACCTTAGCAACCACATGGAATGCCATAGCAACCACCTAGCAACACCTTGGCAACCACCTGGGACACCATAGCAACCGCCTAGCAATTAATCTCAGTGTTACTGAGCTCTGCTAAAGCCTGAGTAGACTGATAAATAAATGTGATCAGTTATTATTCTCACTGTTACTGAGCTCTGCTAAAGCCTAAGTAGACTGATAAATCAATGTGAAGAGTCAGTTATTAATCTCAGTGTTACTGAGCTCTGCTAAAGCCTGAGTAGACTGATAAATCAATGTGAAGAGTCAGTTATTAATCTTAGTGTCACTGAGCTCTGCTAAAGCCTGAGTAGACTGATAAATCAATGTGATCAGTTATTAATCTCAGTGTCACTGAGCTCTGCTAAAGCCTAAGTAGACTGATAAATCAATGTGAAGAGTCAGTTATTAATCTCAGTGTTACTGAGCTCTGCTAAAGCCTGAGTAGACTGATAAATCAATGTGAAGAGTCAGTTATTAATCTTAGTGTCACTGAGCTCTGCTAAAGCCTGAGTAGACTGATAAATCAATGTGAAGAGTCAGTTATTAATCTCAGTGTCACTGAGCTCTGCTAAAGCCTGAGTAGACTGATAAATCAATGTGATCAGTTATTAATCTCAGTGTTACTGAGCTCTGCTAAAGCCTGAGTAGACTGATAAATCAATGTGATCAGTTATTAATCTCAGTGTTACTGAGCTCTGCTAAAGCCTGAGTAGACTGATAAATCAATGTGATCAGTTATTAATCTCAGTGTTACTGAGCTCTGCTAAAGCCTGAGCAGACTGATAAATCAATGTGATCAGTTATTAATCTCAGTGTTACTGAGCTCTGCTAAAGCCTGAGCAGACTGATAAATCAATGTGATCAGTTATTAATCTCAGTGTTACTGAGCTCTGCTAAAGCCTGAGTAGACTGATAAATCAATGTGATCAGTAATTATTCTCACTGTTACTGAGCTCTGCTAAAGCCTAAGTAGACTGATAAATCAATGTGAAGAGTCAGTTATTAATCTCAGTGTTACTGAGCTCTGCTGAAGCCTGAGTAGACTGATAAATCAATGTGATCAGTTATTAATCTCAGTGTTACTGAGCTCTGCTGAAGCCTGAGTAGACTGATAAATCAATGTGAAGAGTCAGTTATTAATCTTAGTTTCACTGAGCTCTGCTAAAGCCTGAGTAGACTGATAAATCAATGTGATCAGTTATTAATCTAACTGTTACTGAGCTCTGCTAAAGCCTGAGTAGACTGATAAATCAATGTGATCAGTTATTAATCTCAGTGTTACTGAGCTCTGCTAAAGCCTGAGTAGACTGATAAATCAATGTGATCAGTTATTAATCTCACTGTTACTGAGCTCTGCTAAAGCCTGAGCAGACTGATAAATCAATGTGATCAGTTATTAATCTCAGTGTTACTGAGCTCTGCTAAAGCCCGAGCAGACTGATAAATCAATGTGATCAGTTATTAATCTCAGTGTTACTGAGCTCTGCTAAAGCCTGAGTAGACTGATAAATCAATGTGATCAGTTATTATTCTCACTGTTACTGAGCTCTGCTAAAGCCTAAGTAGACTGATAAATCAATGTGATCAGTTATTAATCTCAGTGTTACTGAGCTCTGCTAAAGCCTGAGCAGACTGATAAAGCAATGTGATCAGTTATTATTCTCACTGTTACTGAGCTCTGCTAAAGCCTAAGTAGACTGATAAATCAATGTGAAGAGTCAGTTATTAATCTCAGTGTTACTGAGCTCTGCTAAAGCCTGAGTAGACTGATAAATCAATGTGATCAGTTATTAATCTCAGTGTTACTGAGCTCTGCTAAAGCCTGAGCAGACTGATAAATCACTGTGATCAGTTATTAATCTCAGTGTTACTGAGCTCTGCTAAAGCCTGAGTAGACTGATAAATCAATGTGATCAGTTATTAATCTCAGTGTTACTGAGCTCTGCTAAAGCCTGAGCAGACTGATAAATCAATGTGATCAGTTATTAATCTCAGTGTTACTGAGCTCTGCTAAAGCCTGAGCAGACTGATAAATCAATGTGATCAGTTATTAATCTCACTGTTACTGAGCTCTGGTAAAGCCTGAGCAGACTGATAAATCAATGTGATCAGTTATTAATCTCAGTGTTACTGAGCTCTGCTAAAGCCTGAGTAGACTGATAAATCAATGTGAAGAGTCAGTTATTAATCTCACTGTTACTGAGCTCTGCTAAAGCCTGAGTAGACTGATAAATCAATGTGATCAGTTATTAATCTCAGTGTTACTGAGCTCTGCTAAAGCCTGAGTAGACTGATAAATCAGTATGATCAGTTATTAATCTCAGTGTTACTGAGCTCTGCTAAAGCCTGAGTAGACTGATAAATCAATGTGAAGAGTCAGTTATTAATCTCAGTGTCACTGAGCTCTGCTAAAGCCTGAGCAGACTGATAAATCAATGTGACCAGTTATTAATCTCAGTGTTACTGAGCTCTGCTAAAGCCTGAGTAGACTGATAAATCAATATGATCAGTAATTAATCTCAGTGTTACTGAGCTCTGCTGAAGCCTGAGCAGACTGATAAATCAATGTGATCAGTTATTAATCCCAGTGTTACAGATTTTTTTTGAGAGATGATCAAACTAATAATCTCCTCTGTAGTCCTGCTCAGGGGATTGTGGGAGCAGTAGACTAAAGCAGGCGGTGAGAAAGGAAAAAATTTAAGAATTTCTAATTTTCTTTTAAACGATAAGTGAATTTTCCATGGAGATTACAGAAAGTAAACTTCTAACAAGTGGAAGCAAGAACAATGTGAATTAAGTAAAAGAGTAAAAGGAAGTTTTCCCCATGAGCTTTATGAAAACGTATTCTAAATGTATTCTGAGTATCTTTTTATATATTGTAATGAACTGCATTACTGAATACATTTAGGACAGCGTATTCAGCATTCAGCCATCACTACTTTTTTAAAGTATTTTGCCGAACACTGTCATTGTGCAGTACTGGTCTTGTGTGTTGTGTTTGGTGATTCATATATTTTACTCTAACAAGATCTCTGAATAAAATCAAACTCAGACTACATGTTTAGAAAAGCAGAAATGTTTAAGGTGTTTCAGAACACAACTGTGTGTAAGTGGTTCAAACAGAATCAGATCATGTTAACTTTGTGTTTGCTATACAGTGACAAAATTGGGTTTGGATAAAATGAGCCCTGTTTTCAAAATCATGCATAAGCAATCTTAAAAAAAACTTTAATTTGACTTTAATTTAATTCAACTTTAATTTAAACCAATTAAGTTGGTTTTATATAATTAAAAACATTGAACATTTAAACATGTCTGCTAATTAAGGGTTGATCCTTAAAGTGATTTTAGCTTCTGTAACATTTAATACAAAGACGTGTTGTAACCAAAAAATGTTCATAATCACGTGTTTACATATTTACCTCCTGTGCTGCGATTGGCTGGTGCAGTGTATCCATTGGCCACTGGCTGCCTGCACCTGTATGTGGTAGCCAATCGGAGTGCTAGACGGTGGGGCCTGGGAGTGTCAGAATACGGGTGTTTTTTTATTGCTTTTTTTAATTTCTTACCTGGAAAATGGTTGGTGTTCTCACACAGTTAATTTTTTTTAAGATACAGCTGGTTTAATCCAGAATATGTGTATGTTGTTGCTTCAATACAGGTGCTTTTGCACAATATGGGTGGTTTTAAAAAATAAGAATACAGGTGTGTTTTCTTTCAGCTACTATTCAGGTGCGTTTTGATGCAATATGGGAGGTTTGATACAGAATACGGGTATGTTTTGACGCAATATGGGTGGTTTTAAAAGACAGAATACGGGTGTGTTGTTCTTTTGCACCAATACAAGTGCGTTTTGACGAAAAACAGGTGGTTTTAAAATACTGAATACGGGTGAGTTTCGTTCAGCTACAAATCGGGTGCGCTTTTGACGCTATATGGGTGGTTTTTACACAGAATACGGGTGTGTTTTTACAAAGTCGGAATACGGGTGTGTCGTGCTGAACCTTTCCCAGTTTCCTCCTGGCTCGCCCCGCCCCCCCGCGGCTCATTTGCATTGACGTCAGCAGAGGCTGGAGGTCAAATCCTCGCCGCTTTTATTGGATCCGCCGCTGTCAGACAGAGAGAGAGAGCGAGAGAGAGAGAGTGAGAGAGAGAGAGCTTTACTGTATTTATGAGCTTCTTTTATTTTATATATGCACACGTACACGGAGAAAACGCCTCGCTTTGGCGCGTGAAGCGACGCACGCGACGCTGCTCTTCTTCCCCGGATCGACAAACTTAAAGGGCTTAAAGGGGCGGTGAGGTTAGATACGGTTTGTTTTTGTGGGCTTTTTTCTTGGTTGCCATTTTCAGTATCCAGAGATCTGTGACAGCTCCACAGCTCCTCATTTTGGGGAGATTTTTTTTTCTTTTCATTATTTTTTTTTTCTTCTGAAAGAGGAGGGGGGGGGGTTGAGACCCCTCTGCTGGTTTGCAATCCTTATCATTTTTGTTATTATAATATTTTTTCCCTCACTGAGGATTTGAGGATTCTCCCATTCCCATCCTGGATGTGCTGGATGTGAGTGGTGTGTGTGTTTTTGGTGTGTAAATGGGGATTAAGCGCGTGCTCGGGAGTGTAGCCCCCTCCTGCAGGCTCGAGAAGCCACTATGCCTCAGGAATATTTCAGATATTTCAGCCTGTTGATGAAAGTGGAGCGAAGAAGAAGAAGAGCCGGATTCTGTCCTGCAGTGTGTGTGTATGTGTATGTGTGTGTGTGTGTATGTGTGTAAGGCCATGGATCAGTGCAGCGCCTGAAAAAAAACAAAAAAAACATCTGGACATAAACACAGGGGTCGAAGGTCAAGAAAAATGAGGGGATAGTGATGTGGGGTGTGGAGGACAGGAGGGAGCTCAGGAGGTGAAGAAGAAGAAGAAGAGGAAGAGGAAGGTGGTGGATGGGGCTGAGGGCTCAAACACGGATCGCACACACTCATGCATCCACTTTACTTCATGTAAGAGGCCGAAAGGAAGCCTGTTTCCTGGCGTTGGGGGTCCGGGGGGGGGATTACTCTACATTAAGGACGGGACAGAACGTTTACAGTGAAGAGACGCAGAAGGCTGAGAGTTAGAGGCCGACACACACAGACGGACGGACGCTGAGAAGAAGAAGAAGAAGAAGAAGAAGGACGGTGTCTGAAGGAGTGGGTTTGAAGCATGGGCTGTGCTTCAAGCATCCATATTTCGGACAGGGTGGTCTATCACAGCGGAAAAGAAGCTGAGGACTCGCACTCACCGCCGCAGAGCAACACTCACCCAGGGCTGCCCATCAAACCCTCCAACAAGGTGAGAGAGAGAGAGCGGGGGGTCCGAGACCTCCCTGGCTTGTGAATGTGAATATGCATAAACACACTGTACATACTTAAAAAGATGGTTCTTCAAGGGTTCTTTAGCAAAGAAAATGGTTCCATATAGCACCAAAAAGGGTTCTGCTGTTGTCACGATATCAAGCTTATTACAGTAGTAGAATGCTTTTAAAAACCATCTACAGCACATTCTCCATCAATGTGAAGAACACTTTAACCATGCAAAAAAAACATTTAATCATGCAAATGGTTCTTTGAGTGTTCATGGTTCTATACAGAGCCATCTTTTGTAATAGTGTAGGGGTCGGCGATACCATCAGTATTGGTAACGTGATGAATCAGGTCACTGCTCTGGTGATATAGTGGTCATCAATCAATCAATACTCAGAGATACATTGACAGCCGAGCATTTACAGCATTAAAGGGAATGAAAAAGAAATAAAATGGAATTTAATCAGGTTAAACTAAAATGAACAGAACTACATTAACAAATCAACAGTAATAAATAATTAAGTCAGCAGTTAAGATTTGATTAAGAAGGATAAATATAAAATAAAACCTAGATAATAAACCAGTTAAAAAGATTTTAACATAAGATAAATAGGTAAACTACATCATCATCAGCACGGTCAGCTGTGTCCTGTTCGATTCACATGCTCAAATCCCTGCGATCATGTTCTTGATGGTGTTCTCCTGATCTTCATACCATGTATTGTGTGTTGTGAAAGTATTGTAATATTGGGTTTTTGCTATATCACCAATCGCTAACACACACACACACACACACACACACACACACACACACACACACACACACACAACGAAACCTTGTATCTCCGAAATGGTAACTTTGCAGGAGAAAGAAAAAACATACCATTCCTTTTATTGTAAGTCACTTTTTTCCAACATATGTGTGTGTGTATATATATATATATATGTGTATATATTCACAATACTATGCAAAACACTGATATTAGAATAGACGTAAATAACATTATTATAGCAATTAGCGATGTTGTATCTCCATTTTGATTGTTTTTTGTACCTTTTTTGCATAATTTGAAATTCCACTTACCCTTTCCTTTGTGTTAACATTTCATGGACCAACAGAAATTATCAAAATTATTTTTTAAAAAAGTCTTTTTGCATTAACTTCCATTATAAGTTTTCTGTCTCATGTAAAGTTACAGTTTTGGAGATACAAAGTTTTCTTTTCTTTCCAAACTCCAGTTGTTGTTACCATCTAACACCTGATTTATCTGATCAATACTTTATTAAATATATCACAGTATAGACAATGTACACTTGGGTCGACAGAGACGTGATTAATCCTGAGTGCAGGTACGTTAGTGTGTGTTTCATACACACTGCACAGGCAGAAACATGCTCACGTTAGTCTGTATGTAAATGTTTTTACTCTGGATGAATTCAGACAGAGTGATGGCACAGAGTCAGCGTCACACACACATTGTGGTTCTGTAATAAACAATGATGCACTACGTTTATGATGATCATATTTATGTGCATTCAGAAGTTGTCGGTGATTTAACGCTCATCTGCAGATTAGTGTGTACTAGTGACTGTGTAAGTGTGGTGTGTGTAGGTGAGCTGTGTGATACAGACAGTATTTCAGGAGGGGGGCTCAGTCTCGGGGGGCTGAGGTGTAGTGTTTGTGGTGGGCGAGTGTCAACAAACAAAAAACTATACACAAATAAAGAAGGCAGGCTCTAAACTGAGATCATAAATATGTATTTTATAATATTACACTGTACTGTGTTACTAAAATACTGTAAAAATACAATTTTAAACTAAAATAAGAACATAAGAAGTTATATAGTATAAATTATGTTATTGCTGAGTGTGGTGTGTGTGTGTGGGGGGGCTAGACTCTTAAAAAAAGATGGTTCTTCAAGGGGTTCTTTAGTAAAGACAGTGGCACTATATAGAACCATGAACACTCAAAGAACCTCCTGCGTGCTTAATATGGTTCTTTGCATGATTAAATCAGATTGATGGAGAATGTGCTGTTTATGAACCTATATAGAAACAAAAAGGGTTCTGCTGTTATGATGTCAAGCTTGTAACAATAGCAGAACCCATCCATCCATCCATCATCTAAACCGCTTATCCTTCTGGGTCGCGGTGGGGCGCTGGAGCCTATCCCAGCTGTCATTGGGCGGAAGGCAGGATACACCCTGGACAGGTCGCCAGTCCATCGCAGGGCATAGCAGAACCCCTTTGGTGCTATATAGGACCATTTTCAAGCGATTAATCATGCAAATAACCATTTTAAGCATGCAGCTGGTTCTTTGAGTGTTCATGGTTCTCTATAGCACCATTGTCTTTACCAAAGAACCCTTGAAGAACCATCATTTTTAACGTTCCTGCTGTGCAGTATTACTGTTCAGTGATTACAGTGCGAGTCAATCTCATCTAGACCTGTGATTGGTCAGCACACAGTAAACAGCACTGTGATTGGTTAGGGGGCTCATTTGCATATTGTGGCTGACTGAGATATCCATACTGATGTCTCATGATATATTGTACAGTCCTTAGCAGTGCTGTGCATTTACAGCTGTAATATAACTAATATCCAGAGTGAAGCTTTAGTGAAATCAATACCTATGAACTGTTTACACAGTAGTGCATTATAGAAAGTAAAATCAATAAACCAAGGCTTTAAATTTATATGTTGGAATAAAGGCAGATTATTAGAAAAAAACAAGTGCATGTTTTATATTATTGTTATCTAATATAATGTATTCCAAAATTGATTCATTTCAGTCAGCACCTTCAGATCGATGCAGTTCACACCATACTTCAATCTGACAGACTGTAATACGCTATAGGAAGTGTAGGGGGCGATATGGCTTCTATTGTTTCATTTAAAAAGTGCTCTATAATGTTCATATGATCCACACAGTCATTTCGACAGACTGTAATGCACTACAGGAAGTGTAGGGGGCGATATGGCTTCTATTGTTTCATTTAAAGAGTGCTCTGTAATGTTCATATGATCCATACGTTGCATAGATGGACAGATTAATTGATTATAGAAATAATCAGCTGCAGGTACTAGTGGTCAAAGTGTGTGTGTGTGTGTGTGTGTGTGTGTGTGTGTGTGTGTGTGTGTGTGACGTTTGGTGTGTTGGTTTTTGAGGTGCTTTATTTGAATTTAAGGAAGTTCAGAGCTGAACTAACGGTGACTCTGTTCCACTCAGCCTGCCTTAAAGGGCCAATACAACAGAAAACTCACTTTTTCCTTGATTTTATGATGTTATATGTAAAAAAAAACACACACACACACACAAGCCAACACCTTTACACACAAGCCAACGCATTTACAGATTTCTTGTGGAACATATTACCTATTTAGCCTGCGACACTTTAGCTCCACCCATTAATTCTACAGCAGTTTAGCTCTGCCCATTTGGTCTAGAGGAGAGCTCATTTACATATGCATTTACATGTATCAGTCTTAAAGTCACGGTATCATAGTAAGAGAAAAATGTAGAATATGGGTTCTTTAAACTGAACTATTAGCTCATCAGCACACAAGTTGAGCTGTATAGCTAAACACTGACTGGGGGTGGGGGTTTAGGGTCAGTTTAGGGTCAGTAGATGCTCTGTGGTGTGTATAGTTTATATATTTGTGTTTGTGTGTGTGTGTGTGTGTGTGTGTGTGTGTGTGTGTGTGTGTGTGTATGTGTATGTGTGTGTGTGTTCCAAAAATACACTGAGTTGCAGTAACACACACTGCCTGGAAATGTATGTGTAATTCCGCTTTAGTCCAGCACGCTTCCACACACAAAGCTCTATAAACACAACTCTTAAAGGGGAATTCCACCAATTTTTCTAAAATTCATAATTGAGTGTGTGAGATGTAAACAGAGTGATTCAGAGGCCTTTGGTGTGAAATGGTTCAGATTTCTTTACAGTGGTGTTGATAGGAACCAGGGGTCGCCATGATTACAACACAAATATAGACATTTATATTTACTATCCAAAGCCACATGTCTTCTATGGAATGTTGATGATGGGAAAATCGTGGAAAATCTGAAATTATAAGGTTTATTTGGGGACTATTTTGTCTCACAACACCCTGCACATTATGTATCCCTCCACCATGAGTGGAATTTAAATTCTCAAAACTATCATAAAACAGTGTCTCAGACATCAGGCAGTGTATTAATGACTATTTCATGTAATAACTTTCTGTGAGGGAGCTTTTAGAGGTGGACGTCTGGTTCCAATCACCACCACTGTGAACAATTTGAAGAGCAGCTTTGGTCTTCAGATAGTAGACCTTAACAAAAGTGCACTCTTTAAAAAGGTTTTTCAGGGGTTCTTTAGTAAAGAAAATAGTTCTATATAGAACCATTAATGCTAAAAGAACCATTTGCATGATTATAGGGTTTTTCTATTGTTACAATCTTGACATTCCATAGAAGAACCCTTTTTGGTGCTATATAGAGCCCTTTTCAGAAAGGTTCTATTTAGAACCATATACAGCACGTTCTTCATCAATATGAGGAACCATTTGTTGATGCAAAGAACCCTTTGATTATGCAAAGGGTTCTGTAAGTGTTCATGGTTCTACATAGAACCATTTTCTTTACTAAAGGACCCCTGAAGAACCATCATTTTTAGAGTATGCAATACAAATAATGAGCCTCACAAACTGAATATAGTAGAAAATTAGCAGAAACATCTAATAAATGTGAAAAATAGCGCAAATATGATGATAACATGAATCAGAATACATCAGTTATGATCTGTGTGACAAGGATGTGCAGAAATTGCTGAACATGAAAAGATTATGTTTATCTTTTCTGTGAATCACAGACTCGTAGATTAGTTTTTACTCTTTAGTTGAGCTGCTGTTTGACTAACACATTTTTAATGGAGTGGAGGTTTGTTTGGCTTTAAGAAACTTTATTTTGTTTTTTGGGGGGTATTTTAAGTAACAGTAAAGGCAAA